GTCTCGCGGCGTTTGCGCCCTTTTGCGCTGCTTGTTCTGGTCTGAGCCAGTATCCTCGTACCCGCCTCAGTATCTGGAAAATAAAGGTACACAGACTCCGAAGCGGGGAGGTGGGTGGATAGTAGAGCACCCACCAAGGTAAGTAACTTAGCTTTCTTCTTCTAGTGATGTCCCCATGGGTGCTCCACTGTAGGTGTCTGCAAAGCAGTATCCCACGCCCCCATATATTGATGGTAGGTGAGATTCAGAGCCTCTATCAATTGGCAGATGAAAGGACAGCAGCTGTTACGGATTTATCCGGCAGCCATCTATGGTGTACAGCGTAATGTTCTACAAAGGTGCGATAGGACGCCCACATGGCTGACCTACAGATGTCTGCAAGGGAACACCTCTTAGAAAGACAGTGGAGGTTGAAATGGCTCTAATGGAGTGCACCTTAGGGCACTTGAGGAGCGGTATTCCCCAAACAGAGTAGCAATGGGTTATTCAGGGCACAATTAAGTTAGCTACTCTTTGAGAAGAAATGGGTTCACCCTTGGAGGAATCTGCCAGGGAGAGTAGAAATCTGTTTGTCTTTCTAAAGGGCTTAGTGCGGTCTATATAAAAGGCTAGAGCTCTACGTATGTCTAGAGTGAGGAGAGCCGCTTCTTAGGAGAAGCATGTGGCTTAGGGTAGTATGAAGGCAGTATACTGGGCTCGTTGATGTGGAAATCGGAACAGACCTTAGGTATGATTATCCCAACCCCTAGGAAGCCCCACTACCTACCTCCGAAAATGTAGTGCCGGCTTCCCGCGGGATGGAAGGAAGTCCAGCAGCTGCACGCCACTTCCAGAGTTTCTGGAAGTGCGCTGCCTGCTCCCCTCCCTCAGGTCTGTGGCATGCCAGGAGGAGGTAGGAGTTCCGGAGGAAGACGCGTGCTTGGGCTTCCGGGGGGAGGAGTGAGAGGGGAAGGGAGGCGTGCACTGGGGCTCACCTCCTCTGCGGGGGAGGAGGTAGAAGTCCGGAGGGGAAGTGCGCGCCGGGGAGGAGGGAGGAGTCCCGGGGGGAAGCGTGCGCAGGGGCTCCCCTCCTCTGCGGGGGAGAGGGGAGGAGTAAGCGCGCACCGGGAAGGGGGGAGGAGTCCCGGTGGGAAGCATATGCCGGAGCTTTCCTCCTTTGCAGGGGAGGGGGGGAGGAGTCCCGGGGGGAAGCGTGCGCAGGGGCTCCCCTCCTCTGCGGGGGAGAGGGGAGGAGTTCCGGGGGAAAGCGCACACTAGGGCTTCCCTCCTGGGGGGGGGGAGAGGGGAAGGGAGGTGCACACCGGGGATCCCCTCCTCTGTGGGGGAGGAGGTAGGAGTCCTGGGGGGAAGCGCGCACCGGGAAGGGGGGAGGAGTCCCAGGAGGAGGCTCTTGCCTTCCCCACCCCCCCAGGGGAGGGAAGCTCCGGCGTGTGCCAAGGATTCCCTGCCCCAGCCAACACCCTGCCCCCTGTTCCCACTGGCACTCTGCTCCCACTGGCATCCTGGCCCCTGCCTCCACTGACACCCTGTCCTCTGTCCCAGCACCCACTAGCACCCGTCCCCAGTACCATGTCCCCTGCTCCCACCAGCACAGTTGGGGCCACATTAGTGAGGCTTTGGAGGAGTTGTTGTTGTTGTTGTTGTTTTGCTTTTGTATCTCACTTGTGTGGCCCCAACTGACTTTTCAGTGACCCCTGAATCAAAGCAGGTTATCATAAATAAAAACAATGCTGAAACTTTTTGTGTTTGACATATTTTATTTAAAAATAAAGCCTGGCCAACAACCCCCATCTGTCCGCAGCATCATAACACTCCTGCATCCCTCCCGCCCCCCTCCCCCCC